TAGAGAAACATGTCTTGGTTGTATTATGTTGGAGGGGGAAATGAAACGCACCTGCAACTAAACAAATCCTCAAACTTCCTAACAACTTCTGCGTTCACAGTCAACTTTCTGGCTGTGTCTGGTGCGATAGGTGTCATCACGTCAAATTCTGCTTCCGGCCCTTGAGAGGCTGATGCAGAGGTGTCATAATCCGGGGTGTCAGTCGTGTGAGATGGTGCATAGCAGTCGTCGTTCTCTGCAATTCCATCGCCAGAAGTCTGGTAGCTAGCGACTTTGAGGGCTTCTGATGTTAGACCGGGTCCAGCAACGTTATCAGCGACTGCTCTGACTATAGAGCGTGGATGCGCTAGGTAGACTCGATAGAATGACCTTGAAGATAACAAGGCGGACTGCAATGCCGAGAAAGATGGGGAGAGCATGAGAATGCGATCGAGAACGTCATCGTCGAGAGGTAGTCTGTTGGAGTCCATGTCGGGCATGATATAGCTGTTGCGTCGGAGAATGCAACGCGGGAGTTAAGAAGGAAGCCTAGATAGCGCATTAGGCCACTTATAAGAAGTATAGCAGGATAGTAGCGCCATGTGGACATTGTTATGACGCCACTCATATCCATTCAATACTCGCCATTCGCCATCCTTCGCGTTCTTTTCGCGACTTCTATTTTGATGTTTCTAAACCCTGTTCCAACATTTCCGAGTCTTCTTCGGGTAGCCAATCTGAATGTGTCCAATGAGTACCATGACAAAGAAAATCTGTGGAGTAACGAGATACATACAATGCTGAACCGGAAAGCTCATTTTCTTCCCTGCAGTGACTTGGCAGTGACGTTGGAAGCTAGTAGGGTTAGGTAAGCAGTGGTGGATTCAATTGCGGGTTGGCCGTAGATCATGGGATCACCGTTAGTTTATGGTTTATCTGCTCTCCTCCACGTCCATCCTACCATGCGAAATCCATCATGCTACATATTCACATGGGTCCAATTTCTAAAAAGTGCCATGTTAATGGACTACCTCGGATTTGCTCAGGCGTACGTTAGTACCGCCGGCCATATTGGCTTGACGAAATCATACAAAATGTCAAGAGTTGCATAGGCGAGAACCCTTCCCGAGTTCCGAATGTCATTTTTTATCTGGCAAGGCTCACTGACGGAAAGCAGACGTGGGATGAGTTGCATATGCTCGTATTCAAAGAGGCATTCCCCTTCTGCTTACTATGATTGAAAAGGTATGTACATTGGAGCTTCCGCCGGGAGAACATTGATACAGAGTAACAGAGAAGGGTATAAGTAATATTGTATCCCGTCAGGTTTGTTGACAAGTCGGAATCACGTCTCCGCGACTTTGGCAAAACGGCAGCACGCATAAACCTGAAATCGACGTACTCTCGGCGAGTCCTTTACCATCCGAAATGAGAAGCCAATGCTTATGCTAAGTACATTAATACTACGTATCATGCTGAACGTCTTTATAGAAAATCTAAGCATTCGAATTGTGTTCCCGGGGAATAAAATCGCTTTCTTGAATAGGCTTTATAAATTCTTCTTTATATCGCTCGACCAAGCGTTTCCCATTGAAGTTACACATAAATTCTTTGAATTTCTCGTATGAGACATGACCTCCCATGGTCTGCCAATCGAACGGAACTTCTGTGTCAGGCTCTAGGCCTTGGTCAGAACCCAAATCACTGACCACGTCAAGACGCTTCATCCCCATTTCCTTCTTCCTTCGTGTACACCCATATCTATGTCTGGCAATCTGGCCGTCCACAAGTAAGCCTTTGAGCTCGAACAGTACATTCGTAAAATTGCTGAAAAACGACGTGACAGGAATCGAGTCCTCCCAAGTAAAGATCCATGCGCTTTTCCTGGCACAGATAAGATGGTCATCGTCCTGATACCACGAATTATACGCCAATTCCCTTGCCAATTTTTGGATTTTCGAATCACGTTCCTCGTAATGGCAACAGACAATCAACATCACATAGAACAAGCCTTCGAGATCATGCCGATACTCATGTCCTCTTTCCCAGTCCTTGCGAAGTAAATCATGGGACATATACGGCGGTGCACCTACACGCATTGTCCCCAAAGGTCCAGGCGGAGGCGGCAGCTCCAGTGCCCAGTCAAAATCGTTCAGAACACCTCTCACGGATCCATCAGTTTCGCGGCGGAACATAACGTTGCCCCTGTTGATATCGCGGTGAAGGACTTTTGGATAATCGACTAGCCACCTATGGATCTGCAAAACGTCGAAAAATACCTGAGCGAATTCCTCGGGTTTGTCGAGGTCGATCAAGGGATGAAGAACGGTTTGAACGGTAATACACAAGGCGCCTGCTTCGTACGAGAGAAAATTTTCGGTGAGCCAAGAGATGAGTTGATATTGCGGTGTGCTCCTGGCCACGTCGTACGTCTTGGACCACAGAATCCTGGGAAGATGATCTTTCGCCCACGCGTGATCATCTCCAAGTTCGTTCGCCTTATCCACAGCTATCTTCACTAGTTCGTCTTCTCCTCTCCGTTTCCGAGACGAGACGCATATTTTCACGACGACCTCACTCTCCTCCCAATCACCCGCCACACGTTTAGCTTTGGTGACCGTCGTAAATCGTCCAGTTTGCTCCTGGCCGTGAATGACGCTTTCGAGTTTGAGAATGGTGGTCTCGTCCAAGAACAGATCCCAACCGTCGACTGAATCAAAGGGATCGCCTGTAGTGCTCGCAGACGGGTCAAACCTAGGGTAATAGTTTTGGTCACTAGCAGACGGCATGTTTTCGTGAGGCGTTTCCTCCTGTCTTTGTTTCGTGTTCCCACTACTCTTGCGTCGTTTAGGATTTGGCTCTTCGCCGCCAACGACCTTTCGCTTCTGGGATTTTTGAACTCCTATCGGCAATGTATCAGTGTCACAGCTTGCTAGTGAAGTTAAAACTCACTTGAAGATCTAGCCTTGGCATTCAACTTGCCAGATCTCTTTCTCTTTACCATGGTATAACAGCACTAATGAAATAAACGGGAAAGTGTTGCTGAGACGTGTCGTAGCGTTTTTTGGAAGTCAGAACTTAAGAGTGGAATGGCAAGTGGCAAATGACAATAACGTTTTTGTTCATTGTTCCAAGTCGCGGTCACGTTAGCAAAATCGATCCCATCTCCATTCTTGAATCGCGCTCTTTGTCATAACAGGAGAGGAGAGTCAACGTTACAAACAAGCCTTCAGGATCGTGTCTATAGTCATGACCTCTTGTTCGGTCCTTGTACAAGTCTAGTTTACAGGGGATCTGGGGTACTCGAAAATATTCGTGAAACTTAGTTGTATGCACACTGATAATGAATAAACATCAATCACTTTTTACAAAAACACAGGAACATAGCAAAATGACTCGGAAATTTCAGAATTTGAATCGAAGACAACATATACTACTTGAAAATGATTGCCAAGATATCGACGCTGGTACCTGCACACGTAGCATTGTGATACCTCTCAACCAAGGGCTGCTCATCAAACCTGCACAGAACCTCTCTAAAAGTCTCGTACGAGACTTTACCATCAAGCGTTTGCCAGTCGAACGGGAGCTTGAAATGTTTACCTTGCTTTTGAGAAGACTTCTTTTCTTTGCGCTGCTGAAATTGCGAATAGCTGTACGCGGCCACTTTACCTTTCCACATCAGGCTCCTGAGGTATTGAATACTCTCATCGAAACCTTTGAAAAATGGCGTGATAGGAATCGGGGTATAAATATCTGAACCCGCCCAGGAAACTTTGTCAAAAAAGACACGATATTCGTTGTTGGAAGAAAACCACGACCCGTACGGAAGTCTTGTCTTGAGCTTTTGGATCTTCGAGTTGCGCTTCTCGTAATGACAACAGATAATAAGTATGACATAGCACAAAGCTTCGAGGTCATATCTATACTCGTGTCCTCTGTATGAATGATCCTGGTCGAGTAGATCAAGAGACATGAATGGCCTCGCACCTCCGGGGCGCTGTGTGGGGTCCGGATCAGGGAACCCACACGCGAGGTCGAAACCTTTTAATACGCCCCTTACAGTTCCATCTGCTTTGCGATGAAACATGATATTCGCAATGTTGATATTGCGGTGAAGAATCTTTGGATGATCAACAAGCCATTTATGAATCTGCAAAATGTCGAAAAAAACCTGGGCATATTCCCTAGGCCTCCTGAGATCGGTTAGAGGTCGAAGAGCAGCTTGCACAGTAATGCAGAGAAAATCTCCTTCATACACGTCAGAGTCATCTTCCGACAAATGTTCGACGAGACGATACTGCGGTGTACCCTTGGCCAACCGATACGACTTGCACCAAGGATACTTGGGAAGGTGATCTTTGACCCATGCATGATCTTCCCCGAGCTCGTCTGCCTTTTCCAAGGCCTCGTTCACAAATTCATCTACTCCAGATCCCTTTTGTTCCTCTGTGGATACACGCAGCTTCACAACAACCTCTTCCTCTTCCCAATCTCCTTTAATGCGTGTGGCACGTATGATCGTCGTTGTATCTTCAGCATCTCCTTGAGCATTACAAGTAATGTTTTTGGGCTTGAGCTCGATTTTCTCGTCGAGATACAAGTTCCAAATGTAGACAGTTGGACTCGAGTCATCCATGCTTGAGGGCAGATCGAATTTAGGGAATTGGTTTGAAGGGTCGTTGGACATGATGTAGCAGTGGTTCTAGCAAGGAAATTAAAGCAGAGCTTGAAATGTCGCTATGAACGTTTTTCGTTGTCATTGTTCTGGTCAAAGCGCGTCGCGGTCACGAGAGTTGTTACGAGTCGAATAGCCCCTATTGTAATAATTATCTTTTACTCTTCCAAGTTTACTTGTTTCAACGGCAAATCAACATCAATATAGGCAGTCATTCATTCAGGTACTTATTGCAAGCCCACGTCAAAGATCTAACCAGAATCAAATAAAAGTACTGCGTAGTCGGTTTGAATTTTGACATTACTTCTCCCAAAAATTATTCATACATGAATACAGTTCAGAGTGCATTAAGAGGGAATCGAACCCCCGGCGGGTCGAACCATCACATATCTGCTGTCCATGGCAACGACCCAGGTTGCCACTACCCCATTAATGCATGCTTGCTGAGGAGTCTGAAGGATATCTCTAAAATTCAAGATTCAGAGAACACCCGTCTCTTGCACAGACGGTATTTTTATATCATTTTACATAGTTCTAACCATTATCCTTGATTCCAAGACAGAAACATCGTTTGTCCACCATAATGAAAACCTTACAATTTATTCATTTTATACTTTCTTCAAGCTTCAAGTAACCTGTATCATAGCGAATTAACTCAAGTACTTCCAGTCGGCTAGAGTTCTACCAACTTGTCACTTCTATCAAAATTTCTCCCAAAAAATCTTTTACAATCATCGTCCTAGTGCATTAAGAGGGAATCGAACCCCCGGCGGGTCGAGCAATCTTCTTGTGGCAACGACCCAGGTTACCACTACCCCATTAATGCATGCTAAAGTCTTCAAGGACAGCGGCGATTACACATACGCACAAGTTCGAAAGAACCAGAACGGAAAACAGGTAGGCAAAGTGGAGAACAGAACAGAGCAGAGAAAAAAAAGACTTGTCATTTCTATAGGTTCGGGATTGTACAGTATGTATGTAGACGTATACGACAAATTGCAAGTCGATAGAAAAAATAATTTCATGATCAATAAGTAGGAAATAGCAAGACATGAGAAAGTAAGCAAGCAAGTACCAGGAACACGAAAAAAAAGATCTATATCTATGTACGTCAAAGGCGAGAAAACCAAAAAGACACAACAACATAAAGTATATAAGAAAATATATACCTGCTTCAAAGAAGAAGAATAGAACATATATGATATCTATAGTCAAAGACGAAGAAGAATAAAACAAGAAAAAGAAACAAGAGACAAGAAGACAGACAGAGAACTCTATACGTGGATTCTATCATATACTCGTTTTACGTACGTATAATGGATACGGATATGAATATTGTACTTGGTGGATTGCATACATAATTCACATGTTCATCAAGAGAGTGGAGAGTTGTTTGATTACGAGGGATCGTTTGCGGTCGCGGAAGAATTATGGGAGAAACAAGAAAAGAACGAGACAGGAACGACGCGGGAACCAGATGAGGTGAGATGATTCGGTTCGGTGATTCGGTGATTCAAGAACATCAAGAAGTAGAAGCAGAGACAATGAAACGAGTGGGGAGTGGGAAGAGTGGGGAACTGAGATGATTTGGGGGAGTTTGATAGGATCAAATGGAACCAGAACCAATTAGGCGAGTGTCAAGAATTCCGCGATTTCGCGAAAGAGAAAGAAATGGAAGACTCTAGATGATGGATGCATGCATACGTGTGCAAATAGTAATAGCAAAAAAAGCGTCCAGAACCACCACTAGGTAAAAGTTCGGCGAATACCAAAAACAACTCGAAAAGGCAAAAATAAAATAAAAAAAGAGGGTACGACAGCGGGCATGCACGAAGCCCACCCTAGAAACAGTGGCGCAGACTACGCACTCATCGGACTAACCCCCCTCCCCCTTCCTATATTCGGAGAGCCTTCCAAACTCGGACTGAGCGGCGACATTGGCGGTAGTGGACCACCATCCGCGTCAGGATCGAGTGAAGTGACAGATACTGGTGAAACGGGTCCAGAGTGAGGATGGGATTTATGTCCGGCATTGGCATTGGAAGCAGAGAGCATATGTCCCATATACGAACTTGGCAACGTCTCGATATCACCCCTGAGAGAAGCTTCAAAGAGCTTGAAGCTGGGTAGTTCTACTCGTTCTGGAGGACGCGAGTGCGAATGGTGTTTTGAGGAAGGCGACTCGGGTGCAGGGTTCGAGATGACATTAGCCAACGACGGACTTGTCGATTTGGACGTTGTCGTTGAAACAGAGCCCGAGCTCAAGTTTGAATTCGATATCGGTCCCAGAGGAGGAAGAGCGTTGGGAGGAAGACTAGGCGAATGAGCTCTCGATCCGGGCATTGACCGTCCACCGAGGTTGAAAACTCTATCACTTTCCTCCTTAACCTTGACCTTTTCATCTCCAGAATGCTCCGAATCCGAGTCAACACGCAACTTGAGTGGAGCAAGTGTTATAGGTGGGCTTGAACTCCTCGATACGGGATGACTCCTCGCTCCATAACCAGTAAAACCAAAGTTGAATCCAGAACCAGAACCTCTCGACGCAGGATGCGAGTAAGACTGAGAATGGGGAGGTAGTTGTGGTTGTGGATGTATCGGTGTCATACCAAACGCCATCCTCACCGAATGAGCTATATGATGGTGATTACTGCTACTATTCGTGTGAGCATGACCATGAGGACGCGACCCTGACAAAGAAGGCGACCCAGCCCTCGAAGGAAGTCCGCTAACCTGACCCAACCCCACGGGACTTCCAGAATTCGAGTTGGAAGTGGAAGATGCGGGGGTGGGGATACCCATAGTCTCCTTTTCCCGGTCTTTCCCATGGACCAAGCCATGCCTCTCGAAATGGACAGGATAAGGTTGGTGACCGTGTCCATGGTGGTGTCCATGATGCGAGGAATGACCATGATACGATACCCTTTCCCTCTCCACTTCCCCGCCCCCACTAACCCCGCTATCGAGCATAAATGGAACTGGACTCCCCGCACGACTCGCGCTGGCACTCGGGGCGGCAGAATGCAAATTTAGTCCTCTCATGGGACCTAAAAAGGGCGAGGTAGAAGGTGTATAGGCTGGAGTATTCAATTGAGTCGTCGTCGTACTCGAGTGGTGAGGCAACGATGCATGCTCTGCAACTCCAGGGGTATTCGGCGTACTCTTGACCATCCTATGGCTAGGTGGACCCATTGCCATCGCATTACTTCTAGCCCTAGGTCTGGACCTCATATGGACATGGTTTCCAGCACCATCGTCTTCTGAATCAGAAGAAGCAGGGGACGGAGTTCTTGTCCTGTGTGCACGGTGGTTATGAGGAGAATGAGGTCTAGAGTGAGGTCTCGACGATGGATAAGGATGGGCGCCATGAACATAATGGTGGTCTCGGCCTTGACCAACGATATGGCCTGTTGATCTCGAGGTGGTCAAAGCGGAACCAGATGTAGACGAGGAACTGGCAGGCGTCATGGGAGTCATATACCATGCGGGACCGGACATGCGACGTTTGTTGGCCTTGTCCTTTTCGAGATCAGGCTCGTCTTCATCGTCGGCATCCCTATCTCTTTCATTCGACATGCCAAAGTAGGATTTGTGAGTCTCTGGAGCAGGAGCATACAAAGGTGTAGACACGGGAGAAGTCGTAGCGCTCTTGACCTGCCTAGTGTCTTGATTGTGATAGGAGTGATGAGAATGATGAATACTGTGGAGGCTGTGTTGGGGGTATGGATTGGTGTTGGCGGCGGGGTAAGGGTTGGGGGGCAAGTGCCTTGTTTCAAACTCTGCCCTTCGCAAAGCTGCTGCGTGCATTGCTTCGTACTCGGCTCTGCGGAGGGCTTCTGCTCGTTCGAGGGCGTAGAGTTGGTCCATGGCTACAGAGGAGAGGGTGGTAAATGGGGATTGCTGGGTGCTGCGACGGGCCTGGGGATGGTCTGAAGAGGATATGGACGTAGGACGAGCATAAGATTCTCCCTGGAACAACTTTAGTGGCAGAATAAAACAGAATATTACAACACACACCTCGTCATCGCTGTTTGCTCTGCTGCGGGCTTTTTTCTTGACCTGATGGGTCGGCTTTGCCTTTTTTGAGCCAGAAGCATCGTTGTTGTGGATCCTCGAGTGTCTTGTGAGCTCGTCGGAGCGTGAAAAGCGTTTTTCGCAAGCAGGAAAATGACAGACAAAGGGTTTTTCACCAGTGTGAGTGCGGATGTGGCGTGTCTGTGCGAGGCGGTGAGCAATGTCAGCAACAACACACAGATACTCACCTGATGTTCTAGTCGAGAAAAAGCCCTCCCACACAATGCATACGGACAGCGATAAGGTCGAGGAACTTGTTTCTCCTGGTTGGCCATGATGGCGGTTAGAATCAGGAATGCAGATAATCATTCCAAAAAAACTATTTACCCCGCACGGCATTCTCGGCATTGTCCGGGATTTTGTTTCCCCGCGTTTTTTGAGGTCTGTCCCGGCTCTCTCCGTTCCAAAACACGGGTCAACCTCGCAACCACTGCGGTGTCTTCACTCCCTTTTTTCTCGGTCCGAACTGCTCGGCTGCCGACGTCGATGTCTCGATTGCATACACGTGCCTTACCGATCCTCGTCTTCAAGCTATCTCAGTCCAAGCTATCTATACACCAGTCCAACTTGTCCTTCCACCCTTCCTATCTCTCCCCCAACGTCATCTTTGCGTCATGAACAAACGTTCAAGGACCCGCCCCTTTTTGCAAATTTAAACAACGTTCCTATCGCATAATCACATGCCAGGGCTGATAAGACCCTTCAGGCTTCCAGGCCACTTGACCCTTGCGCTTCTCCCCAAACATGCATTAATGGGGTAGTGGTAACCTGGGTCGTTGCCATCGACCCGCCGGGGGTTCGATTCCCCCTTAATGCATTACCTTTTTTAGTTCCGGTGCGGTAACATTCTTTATGGCTACTTATTACCATAGCAAATGCAGGGTAGATTCCTCCACTTACGTGTGTACCCATTGCCACGAGTCTAGTTCTCAATTTGGTCTAATTTCTTTTTAGGGCAAATCTGAAAACAGTATGTAATGTTATCAGGCTATGACTTTGCCTGGTTTCCAACATAGCAAAAAATATGACTATATCTGACATGAAAAGTGGTTTCAGTGTACATAGGTGTTTCATCAAAACTTTCTGTTCATAGTATCACATATTGACTGGAAAACAAACCATGCTGTCTGGTAACTAAAATAGGTCAAGAAACAAGCAGATTGCTTGGGCTGCTCAGATGTTGAAATGCAGACCTTCTCTTTATCTCAACTATCTTTAGTACAGCATCAGCATTCTGACAAATTACTGATCAGCTGGTGCCTGCCAAAATTTAGTGGGCACCAGTGGAAACCAGTCACCAGTTGTTAAGTAAGGCTAAGAACACCAGTAGAACAAAGGATTGATGATGATGGGTGTAGTTTAAAACAACACAATGAATTATTTTGAAGTTAGGCCACAATTTTTTAAAATAATACAGGTCTGATTTTTTTAATGGTATCTTAATAATATATACAGATGCAAACCTGGAAGTGAAACACACCTAGAAGCAAAACATAATATAATATTACCAAAAGCAGACAGATTTTCTCACAACCAGTGTTTTCAAAAAATCAGAAATTGTTCAGAGTGGTCCAAAACAAGATGAAAACCCACTCCTCAATATCCTTAGAGGGGGTTTAAAAGGTCTGTGAGTTGACCTATCTCCTATCTCATTAAAATTTGAATCTGACATCAGCAACTCACCAAAAACTGGGTGTTTCACTTCCCAGTTTTTACACATTTTTCATTGAAAAAGTGTCTTGTCCATTTCTC